CGGGATCTATCCAAAAATTTAAGGAAAAACTCAGCAGGCAATTTACGACCCTGAAAAGAAAAAAGCTTTCCCACACATGCAGCCTGTAGCAACAGAGACCTCCTTCACAGTGGAAAAAAACAGTACCCCATCAGCTTCTCCCAACTGCATCTGAGTAAATAGCAGGCAGGTCTAGCCAACAAGTCAGACATAGCAAAACAACTACATCGAAGGCATTTGGAAAAAAGGGGAGAAATTTGATTAGATTTATTTTTTAATTCACCACCAGATTTTAGATTACTTTCAAAATAAAAAAAATTATATTTTGTGAGTGTATGAGAAAATCTGTGTGTGAGTTTGTGTGTGTGCATGTCTGTCAGTGAATGTGTGTGTGTCTGAGTGAGTGTATGTGTGTCTTTGAGTGTGTGTCAGTGTATGTGTGTCTTTCAGTGTGTGTCAGTGTATGTGTGTATGTGTGTTTCTGAGTGAGTATTTGTCAGTGGGTGTGTGTGAGTGAGTGCATGTGTGTGTGTTTCTGTGAGTGTCTGTGTGTGTGCTAGTAAATGTGTGTCTGTCAGAGTGTGTCAAATCAGTGAGTGTGTGTGTTTGTGAGTGTGTGTGTTAGTGTGTGTCAAGTCAGTGACACTGGATGTCCTTATATGTGTGTGTCTGTGAGTTTGTGTCTTTGTCTGTCAGTGTGTGCGACTGTTAGTGGATGTGTATGTATTTATCAGAGTATGTCAAATCAATTAGGGTGTGTGAATGTTGGTGTGTCTAAGTCAAGGAGCATACGTCAGTGTATGTGAGAGTGTGAGTCTGTCAGTGAGTGGGTGTGCCAGTGTGTGTCAGTCAGTGTATGTTAGTCTTTGTATCAGTGAAGACGTGTATCTGTCAGTCCAAGTGTGTGTTGGTCTTAAACAGGTAGAGGTGCAGCCTTGACAGGAAGAGGTACAGCAAATTTAGATTGTGGGGTGTAAATATTTAGTCATGCCTAGGGCAGCATAAAACCAAATACACTAATGTAGCTATGGTAGAAGGAGCTGCAGTGTCAGTGGAAGCTGCAGCACAATGTATTGCAGTGTGAAAAGGCTGAAAAATCCAATTGGGTGATGAATCAGACATAATGGACATGCTACTAATCTCACTATCCTGAGGTTGAACACTAATAGTGGTTGAGGTAATGGCAACTAAGCTCCCACCCCATTGTTTCTAGTGCAATGAATTAAAATCAGCATATTTAGGCATTGCAAGAATCGGTTTCTCCTACATTCTAGCATGTGGCTGTTTGAAAATCAGAATTTTCACTGATCCCCTTATCGGTCTGAACTCGACTGAACTGCAGTTCAGCCCAAGGATGAAAAACTGAAATGACCCTAATGAAAATCCATCATCTGTAAACATGATTGAGGTTAGCTTGAACTAAATTAAATAAGAAGAAATTCTAGCTAATTTATGTCAATGGACAATATTTCCAAGCCCTTCTGTTAAATATTCATAATTGTGCATAATAATATAAATAATAAAAGTAAGCTACATTTTTAAATTAAGGACTTATTTATTCTAGAAACTGTGTTGTAAGAGTATTAATTAATGAATACATATGCAATGAATATTGAGATCATTCCACTATGCCTTGAGACTATGCCTTGAGACATCATTTTCTTTATGGTTAATTAGGAAATAGTATTCATATCATGTTATACATCTCATCTACTAACATTCATGCCACTTTATATGCATAAATCCAAGCACTCATACTTAAAAATACTACTCTTACAATGGTAAACAAATCTCAGTCTAATGTTCAATAAAGTTTATGGATTATGTGAACATTTTCAAAATGACTATCTCTAAAAGAGATTATCGTTACCCTTTAGAATATAAATAAGTAAAATTGTTTATATAATTTGAGTGTCAGTTTATTATAGTATTCGTTTTAATAGCATAATGTTGACATTGAAAATGATATACAGTACGGAGATGAAACTAACAAATAAATATACCATCTGCCTTTCTATGTGAATCAGATGAAAAAGTTAATTTATTTTAGACATTATGTAATTGTTTACTTAGATTTCATTTTGACACTGTTGCACATAGAAGACTTATCAATAAACAGCAATCTTTAAAGGAACACTATAGCATTAGGAATACAAGTACAAATACGTTTCGGTGACAAGGTCCTCTTCTGCGGCGAATAAATGGTTAATTAACCATTTATCTGCTTACCTTAATCCAGCTCCGGGCTCCCTCGGCGCTAGTGACCTCTCCTCCTAAATTAACGTCAGCTCCCGAGTGGAGCCAAATGCCCATGCGCAGCCAGACGCGTGCACGCATTCAAAACCACCCACTCAATGCTTTCCTATGGGGATATTTTTTTGACGCTGGAGGTCAAATAAGTGCGATTTACTTGGTGTAAATTGCGGAAGCGCCTCTAGTGACTGTCAGGGAGACAGCCACTAATGGGTGGATTAACCATGCAGTGTAAACATAGCAGTTTCTCTGAAACTTTTTTAATTTCATTGAGCTGAAGTGGTCTCGGTGCCTATAGTAGTCATTTAAGTTTGGATTCTAACATTGTTGAATGGGCAAGGCAGTGGCTGAGCGACAGGCAACAGAGGGTTGTAGTCAATGGAGTATATTCGAAGCATAGTCACCAGTGGAGTACCTCTTTTTATTAGTGATATTGGAGAAGGTCTTGATGGTAAGGTATGTCTTTTTGCTGATGATACTAAGATATGTAACAGGGTTGGTGTTCCAGGAGGGATAAGCCAAATGGCAAATGATTTAGGTAAACTAGAAAAATGGTCAGAGTTGTGGCAGCTGACATTTAATGTGGATAAGTGCAAGATAATGCATCTCGGACATAAAAGCCCAAGGTTTCTCGGACATAAAAGCTAGCAGTACACTTGGTTGTTTAGGGAGAGGTATTAACAGTAGAAAGAGGGAAGTGCTCATGTCATTATACAGAACAATGGTGAGACCTCACTTGGAGTATTGTATGCAGTACTGGAGACTGTATCTCCAGAAGGATATTGATTAGAGTTGAGCGGACACCTGGATGTCCGAGTCCGGCGGGTTCGGCGGAACTTTGAAAAAAAGTCCGGGTTCGTGCTCGAACTGGACTCTGAACTTGAACCCCATTGGAGTCAATGGGGACCCGAACTTTTGGGCACAAAAATGCCTCTAAAAAACTCCTGGAAAGGGCTAGAGGGCTGCAAAAGGAAGTAAAATGGGGGTAAGAGAAGGACAAGTGCCCTGCAAACAAACGTGGATAGGGAAATCACTTAAAATAACATAAAAATTAAAAATACAGCTGAGCCATAAAATAGCACTAGATGAAAACTTTGATTTTAGCTTTGGAAGAACATAAATCAAAATCTAAAGCATGGCTGTCAGGAGGATCACCAGAATTAGCCATTTTAGAGAGGGTTGGAGTGCAGGGTATTCTCTTTCATTGTTCAAACTGAGCTCAACTCCTGATGCATGGAGAAAAGGCCATAGTTATTTCAATTGTGCCATAGTTATTTGAATTGTGGTAGCCTCTGCTATTGTGTACATAGTTTATACTAAGTGACCCATAGGTTGAGGAGGCGGTGACCGTGGCGGTGGAGGAGGAGGATGAGGTAGCCAACACTGTTTTTTATGGATTTTTTTTAATTGTGGTAGCCCACAAAATATTGGGACATACACAAAAAGAAACATTTGCGGCCTGCGGTGCATTTCTTGCAGTCCTAATGAATGGAGGAATGCTCAACTCCTGATGCATGGAGAAAAGGACTTCACAAGCCTCTGCTATTGTGTACATAATTTATACTAAGTGACCCATAGGTTGAGGAGGCGGTGGCCGTGGCGGTGTAGGTGGAAGCGGCGGTGGAGGAGGAGGATGAGGTAGCCAACATTGTTTTATATATATATATATATATATATATATATATATATATATATATATATATATAAAAATACAAAAAGCCCCTGCACTCACGCTCCAAGTGTCCTTGTGTCCCGGGTGCTAGCTAAATATAGCCATCCATATAAAAATATCCAACGAATAGCTGCACTCACGGTGAATAAAAAGCAAAATTTATTAGAAATGGATTAAAACATCAATGATCAACGTTTCAGTCCGACCAGGACTTTCCTCAGGATCAATAAAAAGATGGAAAAAAAAAGAACAGGTTAATGTGTGTATTTTTTTTTTTTTTTCAGCATGCATACACACATTAACCTGTTCTGGTTAACCTTTGGCTAACCCGTTTTCATTCATACTGCTGTCTTTAACATTCCACACTCATATACATTTAAGACCATGTAATCAGACTTTATTTCTTTCTCCTCCATACATGCTTTTAATTTTACTCCGATTTTTTTCTCTTTTAAAACAACTTTGCCGTTTCTAGGCCACACTTGGTGGCTGTGCTTTATGTCACTTTTCGGCAGTATGCTTGACAGTCCTCGGTTTGCGGCTCTATTCACAGAGCAGACTGGACAAACAGGGTGCACTTGGTGATTGGGTAAGTTTAACACATTAGATTGTATATATTTGATATTTTCACATGTCATAGCATCTTGATAAAGACCGCTAGACGGTCGAAACGTTGATTTATATGCGTTTGATTTAATATATTTTTTTGTTTACTAAATCCAATGAGTGCTCTCAATTTGTTCCATTTGTATATTTTGCACGGAGAGGCACCTGGTCATTGCTGAATTAATGCTTTTGCTATGGGATGAGTGCCAGAAACTATTGTGATTTTTATATATATATATATAAAAATACAAAATACTCCTGCACTCACGCTTTAATATCCCTTAGTGACCGGGTGCAGACAAAAACCGTCTGTCTATCCATTCATCCAAGTAGGTAGCTGCACTCACGGATTATAAAAGTCCAAAGTTTATTGAAAAATGGTTAAAAAAACAGCAATCAACGTTTCAGTCCTCTGTAGAGGACTTTCATCAGGATCCTGATGAAAGTCCTCTACAGAGGACTGAAACGTTGATCGCTGTTTTTTTAACCATTTTTCAATAAACTTTGGACTTTTATAATCCGTGAGTGCAGCTACCTACTTGGATGAATATATATATATATATATATATATATATATATATATTTTAATTGGGGTAGCCCCCAAAATATTGGGACATATAATAAAGACAACTCTGTTCCGCAGAGTAGCTATTGACATTATAGTTGCGCAGGCACTTTGTTGACTCTAGAGAACCTTGGGCCAATCGCACATCCCCATGACGGCGACTTTGCATTTGGATGTCATCCATATCAACTTTCGATGCCAGTTTCTGCGCCTACCATGGTGACCACGGTTAACGGGGAATCAGGGTTCCATGCCATACAAGGACCCTGAGAAACGGCTACCACATGCAAGGAAGGCAGCAGGCGCGCAAGTGACCCACTCCCAACACGGGAAGGTAGTGACGACAAATAACAATACAGAACTCTTTAGAGACCCTGTAATTGTAATGAGTCCACTTAAAATCCTTTAACTCTGATCAATTGGAGGGAAGTCTGGTGCAGAGCCACTGACCCGTGTGTGCTGCAGCTGAAACTCCACTATCGCCTGCTGCTGCTCGCCCAGTCTCATGAGGTGGTGAGCGGTAAGGCCGAAGTTGCGCTGCAGCGCAAACAGGCGAGCAGCAGCAGGGTGAGAACACAGAAAGCGCGCACAGCCGCTACAGTGACATCCTGTTCGAAGTTGCGGATCAGTCTGGTGATGGCTTCTGGAATCCAGTACTCTTTTTACTGAAGCTGCATCAGGGTCCTGGTATGTGGCCGCACAAACGCTGGTGCTCAACACCAGGGGGCATGCGGTTACCCTGCACCAGACCCTGCTAATCCATTCCACACTGTGACTCCTAACTTCAACATCATGCATTCTGGGTCCTGGTCATCCGACCGCCGCCCAAACAGTTTCTTGGTCCCGTTCACGGGACTGCGAAGCTGCAAATCGCTCGTTAAATCTGTTATGATTCTTTTTATCGCTTCAACTGTTACTTGGATAACTGTGGGAATTCTAAAGATAATACATGCCGATGAGCTTTTGCACCCTGCTCCCTCTTATGCTGTGCTGGTGCCTCTGTGCGACCAGCGCCTCTTCCTCCAAACTGCACACGTCACTCGCATTACCTTGATTCCATGTGGGGTCTAGGACCTCATCATCCTCCACATCATCTTCCACCCACTCCTCAACCATGCCCTCCTTGCCGGTATGCACACTGCAGAAAGCCACATCAGTTGGCACCTGTGTTTTTCCAGCATGTAAAGTCTGCAAAGGACATATGGAAATTGTTTTAGAATTGTATCCAGGTAACAGTTTTCCCTATAAACTGACCCTCGCAGTTTGACTTGTGAGGGTATTGCCCCAGAATTACAATATTGTTTAAGAACCTCTTAGCTATTGATAACTGGTTTAAATATAGCAGCTTGTTATCTGGTATCAATCTGTTTTCTATCACTTAGATCTGTGTAACAAGTGTTGTAGGTGTGAAACAATATTACAAGTGACCGATATAGTAAATTTGAATCAAAGTTCCATTTGCAAAAGAAATTCTCACCCATCTTCTGTGGGTTATTAGATTTTTAAGATATAGACTTATTGTATCACAGTAGCCATGCACAGGTAGATTGTCTGGCACGTTGTTTTGGTGTTTGGTTTTTAACTTTGTAGTTGTGTCTTTACACAATATAGAAATGTATATTAATGATTCTGTATATGAAGCGATCACAATAACACTTATTTTTCACTTTAAAAAAAAAAACAGGCTACACAAAAATTGGTAATTCACAATATGACATGTGAAAAGCACATGAAAGGATGCTTTATGATTTAAAAAAAAATAAAAAAAAAAACACACTACATGAAGGTCCTGTTCACTAGAGTGTGTAGTCATGAATGTAACCAGTAAAACTTTGTTTTTACAGCCACTGGTTGGCCCATACATATTTTAAAACTTGTTTAATTTTGTTGTAGCATGACTTGTAGATATGAAGAGCAGGCCCCAAAATGTACTATTTAGCAGATTAGCACCCAGAAAATAAGAATGTTTACCACTGCGCTGTAAGCACGCTATTAGACGCTTCTATTTGACTCTCAGATATGAAGAGCAGGCCCCAAAATGTACTATTTAGCAGATTAGCACCCAGAAAATTAGAATTTTTATAACTGCGCTGTAAGCACACTATTAGACGTTTCTATTTGACTCTCAGATATGAAGTGCACCCCAGTAAAATACTATTTAGCAGTTTAGCACACAAAATTTTTTAATTTTTAAAACTGCAATGTGGCAGCAGTATTTGAAGATTCTATTTGACTCTCAGATATGAAGTGCACCCCACTAATGTACTATGCCACTAATGTACTATTTAGCACCAAAGTAAATTTACTTTTTAAAACTCAGATGTAACCGCGGTATTTGAAGCTTCTATTTGACTCTCAGATATGAAGTGCACCCACTAATGCACTAGTTTGCAGAATTCTTTCCTAAGCTGTCCCTATCAGCGGCAGCGTCCTCTCCCTACACTAATAAGACCTCATGTGCGTGCGGCGCTACGCGACTCCAGCTTAAATATAGAGGCTGGATCACATGCTGCACTGGCCAACCACAGCCATGCCATTAGTAGGCATGGCAGTGATGGCTTCTAAGGGCACACGAGTCAAACGCTTGTTGATTGGTTGCCTGCAGCCTTTGAAAACGTGCCATTAAATTGCCGAACACCGAACTCCAACCCGAACATACAGTGATATGTCCGTGTTCGGGTCCAGGGTCCAAAAAACTTAATGTTCGGTGCGAACCCAAACTTTACAGTTCGGGTTCGCTCAACTCTAATATTGATACTTTGGAGAGAGTTCAGAGAAGGGCTACTAAACTGGTTCATGGATTGCAGGATAACACTTACCAGGAAAGGTTAAAGGAACTTAACATGTATAGCTTGGAGGAAAGACGAGACGGGGGGGATATGATAGAAACATTTAAATACATAAAGGAAATCAACACAATACAGGAGGAGACTATATTTAAAAGAAGAAAGACTACCACAACAAGAGGACCTAGTCTTAAATTAGAGGGGCAAAGGTTTAAAAATAATATCAGGAAATATTAATTTATTGAGAGGGTAGTGGATACGAGGAATAGCCTTTAAGCTGAAGTGGAAGAGGTTAACACAGTAAAGGAGTTTAAGCATGCGTGGGATAGGCATAAGACTATCATAGCTATAAGATAAGGCCAGGGACTAATGAAAGTATTTAGAAATTGGGAAGACTAGATGGGCCGAATGGTTCTTATCTGCCGTCACATTCGTTGTTTCTATGTTTCTATGTAATACAAATTCTGAATAGCAATACCATATTCATAGTTAACTACAACTTCCATGAATATTTCAATGGAACAGATATCCAGGATATCATGAGAGTTGTAGCTCAGCAACATCTGGGGGCCGCAGGTTGGACAGCCCTGATTTAGAAAATGTGTTTCTTAAGAATAAATAACTCGTATATTTTATATATTTATATGTACTACTGTAAAATCCCAAAGCAAAACATTAAGTGGGTTGATTAACTAGCTGGTTTAATCGTAAAATGATAACAATTCTTCTTGCAATTTACTAGCACAGCTTGTAGTATATTTTTTTTCATGGTATTAGTGCTGTTCCGGGCATTACTCAGGGAAAAACATCAGAGTATCAACCAATGGTAAGATATCAAAATAGTTGCGTGTTTTGAGTGTTCATTTCCACTTTTCAAACTTAAAATAGAGGTGAATTATGGAGAGTTGAAGAAGTATTGGGCAAATGTTCTGTTTAACACAGGTTTTTTTCCGAGACAGCTGCCAATTGCAGTTCTCAAGAATGGAGCACCAGAATGTGACAGAAATCCTCCACCACCCAAAAATTGGGGGTCATTCTTCAAGTGGATGATAACTGACCACAGCTTCACAGCTTACAATATCAACATATCAGTTGTGGCAGGATGACCAGGCTCTTCACAATAAACTTCAAATGCAACAGTCAGGATAAAAGAATACTGCAGTTTGTCACTTTCCACAATATATACAAGGTTGTGCTCTCCCACAAAAATAAAACAAAAAGAAAATAAATCCTACTCCAACTTGGAGACTTACTAAACAACAGTATTACTAACTATTCAACCGGCCAGCTAATCTGGTTCCCAGTTTTAAACAACATGAAATACAGCACTTTAAGCAGGTTTCACACAGTACCTTTTTCTCAGAGTCTAAGGCTTAACTGCCTCCTCTCTACCAGCTGTTAGATTCCCTGATGTCTTCAGAGGCTAACCTTTTAAAACCCTAGTGCTGGTTAATGACATTCACCTGGTTGATAACATTCAAGGGGTGACTCCCACCAATTAACCCCATCATGCTGGGAATAGAGAGAGCTCCAATCTATTACTAACATAAAAAGTCTCTCTGACCCTGCCAAACAGTATATGCAAGATAATTCCACATAGGCAACTCCAATAACAAGGACAATAACAAGGATAATAGTTATTTCAGTTGGATAACAAGGGGAGGATCGAAGGTAGAAACTATTTCAAACCTCACGAGCCTGACCTATAGAGACAGAGAAGCAACTCAGAAACAAATTATAAAAAAAATAACCTTTAATAAATATAATATAATTAAAAAAACTCCAACGTGTGGGTTTGGAAAGTATTTACAAATAAGTCCTAATTTCTAATTAAATAGTGCTAACAAAAAAAAAAGTAACTAAAAAGTGGATATTGCTGTCAAAAAGGGGGGGAGGAGGGGAAAGAAAATCAGTACTGGCTGCAAAATCGCAGATAAAGGATAAATACTAGGAAGGTAGGGGTATAAATAGGTAAAGGACTGTAAGATAGCCAAAACCTATGCCCTAAGGTCCCTTCGAGGGCACCCCTTAAAAAAAGTCTAAACCTCCAAGCCTCCCGGAGTCCAAGACACGTTTACCATGAAGTGAAACAAACCCCTTTCCAGCTCACCCACAGCAACAAAAAATATAAAGAAAAATAAATATAATTATAAGTAAAGATCTTATACTAAAATCAAAGCATGGTGGCTTGTCTTCATCTTAGAACATAGCTGCAGCATCATCCCTAGTCTCACTGCCAACCACTGCTAAATCTGTCCCAACGTGCGTTTCCCCAAATAGTGGCTCTTCCAGGAGAAGTGGGATCCTAGTGCATGGGATCCTATGGACACACTTGCAGCCACAAAACTTAAAGATGTAACAAACTTTATTGCAAATAAAAACATAAAAACAAGCTCTGTAGTTTGAAATTGCAGATATCCCGGTAAGCACACCAGCCTTTAATACAGTTCTGAGTTTCTATGGGGCGAAACGCGTCATTAGCCGGAACCAGGAAGCAGAGAGGTAAGAAGTAAGAGTTGGAACTTCGTGAGACGTTGGAACTTCGAGAGCTTGTTTTTATGTTTTTATTTGGAATAAAGTTTGTTACATCTTGAAGTTATGGCTGCAAGTGTGTCCATAGGATCCCATGCACACAAGGGGTTGATCCTCCATGAGCCTTAAGTTATGTTGTTGGTTGCCGCAATAGTTACCTCTTTCTAATATTAAATATTGTATTATATC